ACTGTCGTTTAGGAAGGCTTGTGACAGGACCCTTTCAATGATATTCGATGCCATTGCATGCTGCTGGTCTTTACTCCGTTACTTACAAAACTAGAGGAATGTTGATGAGTTTCATTACTTGCCTGATGACGATTGAAAAGTTTGGCTGAAACCTGGCCTGATCTAAACAGAAATTTGACGTGTATAAATATTTTAGGTATAAGAGTTTTCAGTCGTTATTCACTTTAAGTTATTTCTGTATTCATTTATAACAGTTATTTGTTTTTCAACCATCTCTAGTCATAAGTTCGATTATACACTGATCATAGCTCTGATCCGTTGATACAGTGCTCCTCTATGACTTTTTATTCTTATTTAAACCTAATGTTGTAAGATAAGATGTACGTAATGTAGGATATTTGCCAAAACTCTATGAAAATGTTGCTTAAACTTATTAGATCCCAATGAGATTCGTAGCTCTGCCAGAATGTCTGTTCATTGATCACTGTTTCCTAATTTTTAAGGATCGGGAAAATCGAGTCTTTTCCAAGCACTTTTTCGTATGACCGAGTTAGTCAGTGGAAACATTCTGCTCGACAACGTCGATGTCTCTTTGGTCGATTTGTCCGTTCTAAGGTAAGTTTAGTTCTGTTAGAAGTTACTATGATGTTTGTTTCCTGTTGATAATGAAAGATTCTGTTCATCAGGTCTCGAATCGCCATCATCCCTCAAAGTCCTGTCCTCTGCAACGGTACCGTGCTGGATAACCTGATGATCGGCAATCAGTGTACTGAAAATATAGTGAAGGAAACCATTGATCGGTTCAATTTTGGTAACAGCGTTCATATATCATTTGAATGAATAATGCAATTTTACGTTTAATTAATCTTTTGTTTTGCAGCTGATGCAATAAACAACATCGGCGGCCTGAATCGAATGATTGGCGAAGGCGGTGCTGGCCTTTCCTTTGGGGAACGTCAAGTGATTTGTCTCTTGAGGGCTATGATAAGCCATGCAAAGGTTATATTCGTTTCTTTTAATTTTTCAACAGGTACCAGGAAAATGCTTTGTTGATTTAGTTCTTAATGGATAGAGGTTAAGTAGAGCGAACGTTTGCCTTTTCCTTCGTATGGCGACCAGCATTGGTTATGGTTACTATGTAGCACAGAGAAAGACTATAAGAAAGTTTTCCTCATTTTTCTCCAATTTTCATGAACCTTTTTATGAAAATGATCTGCCTCATCTTCATATTGCCGCTCGGCATCTCTTAACACACAACGTAATTGAAACTTCATTAAAAGATGGAGAACGCATACAATTGCCAGCATAACACCAATTTTTCAGTTTATCCTGGTCTATTCACACGGCATTGGATTTGCGGTTTGTCCAAGACAAATTTGCGAGAAACCGAAGATCATTGTGTGCAGACTGTCGTTCCTGTGGGAGCTGCTTCGAAAGTTTAGAATGCTTGGTCAGCCAATCGCTGCTACCTCAGTTAGTCAGTTTTCTTGCTCGACTGTTCCGCGGCATTTGTCTCATAGGTGAATTCTCTGTATATTAGATATGAACAGGGTTAATAAGTTATTAAGTGTGAGTAAGAAAGAAAATATCATAGTGTATCTATGATCGACCTTGTTTAGACGACCTTTTTTATAGATTGCAGACGACCTTGTTTTATTAGCATCTTCTGAATCTGATCTCCAGTGCTCCTTAGAAAGGTTCGCAGC